TTAACTTTCACCTCCAACGCATGTATAAACTGCATGTTTTTAATGAGACATCTCCACAGTAGATCATGATCTCCTTTAGCCACTAGGGGCTGTCCACTCCTCTTCCCATGCAATGGACTTTTAAGGTAGTATTAGAGATCCTCTGCTCCACCGGATACCAGTAACCTCACCCAAAAGAAAGTACGCCTCATATATTGTAGTAGATTAGTAAAAGACTCAATATTTATTAAAATCATACATACATTCAGTTAAAAAAAATTCGATGCGCTTTACAGATAGGAATTCAATCCTTTTACTTCCTTAATCTGCCTCCACCCACACCCGACGCGTTGCATCACTATCACCTGACTTCACCAGGGGAGTTTCAATAGAGGAACAGCTTTGCAAATATTTTATTATATACACCCCTATGTCTGTAAAGCAATAAAGGATTCTGAGAAGCCCAGTGTAAAATGTCAGCATCTGCAGGAATGAATGAACTCCCATGCATGCATGGGAGTTACTTCATCCCAGTGTGGCCAATGAAAAGGCCAGGAGGTCCTGAACCCAGAAGAAGACCAGGACATTCGTTGACACTGGTGTGAAAGCTCTTGGATGTTTCATCCCTGGAGGGGAGGTGAGTATAGTTCCACTTTGCAGACTTGAGACCGTTTTACATTTTGGGATGTGTATTCACATATGTGGCATAAAAACTGTGGCCTTTATGGCCAATGCTATGTAGCCAAAGATAACAAAGTGTATGTTCAGCCAAAACTTTTTTTTTGTAGTTTTCAGATAGAGTGGTGAAGGATTTGAACCCCTGGCAGGTTATTACTGCTATCCAGTGCTCCATAGAGCTCCTAAAACAGGTTACAATCTAATTGTACAGATCGATTCTATAGTTTAGGTAGGTCCTCATATTTTATAGTTTGGAAAATCTAAACTTAATTGTACAAAAATTGTAATATGAATGGGGAGCTTTACAGAGAGTAATGACAATGGTTTCACTAGACAGAAAGTGAGGAAAAATCTCTTTTGTCTTTTTTTGGTCAGTTTTATTTCCTTTGGAAAGTGAGTTGATAGCAATAGAACTCTGAGGTTTGATTGAATGATAGTTTTGTTAGCAGCTTTTACATGCCAAAGGTTTTATATGGTCACTTTGGGTTATTGGGATGGAGATGTGTAAGTCTAGAGCTGAAGCCCCCCATATTCTAGTCCAAATATAGGTTTATTCCATTAAGAAATTGTTACACAAAAGTCAATGCGTTTCGGGGGCTGTACTCCACCCCTTTCATCAGGGCTCCAAAACACTGCGTTGTGCCCAGAGTCTCTCAGGGCAGAGTAGAGCCCCCAAAATGGGGCAACTTTTGTAAATAATTTGTTTTTGGAATAGACCGATATTTGGACTTGAATATTAGGTAAAGGCACTTCAATTCTACACTTACCCAGAGACATCCCAGAGTGCCTAATAGCCCCTTCCCTTACATCCATGTGTGCCCTGCAATGTCCCCCCTTACATCCATGTGTGCCCTGCAATGTCCCCCCTTACATCCATGTGTGCCCTGCAATGTCCCCCCTTACATCCATGTGTGCCCAGCAGAGTCCCTCCTTACATCCATGTGTGCCCAGCAGAGTCCCTCCTTACATCCATGTGTGCCCTGCAGAGTCCCCCTTACATCCGTGTGTGCCCTGCAGAGTCCCCCTTACATCCATGTGTGCCAACAGAGTCCCCCCTTACATCCATGTGTGCCCTGCAGAGTCCCCCCTTACATCCATGTGTGCCCTGCAGAGTCCCCCCTTACATCCATGTGTGCCGTGCAGAGTCCCCCTTACATCCATGTGTGCCCTGCAATGTCCCCCCCTTACATCCATGTGTGCCCTGCAGAGTCCCCCCTTACACCCAAGTGTGCCCTGCAATGTCTCCCTTACATCCATGTGTGCCCTGCAGAGTCCCCCTTACACCCATGTGTGCCCTGCAGAGTCCCCCCTTACACCCATGTGTGCCCTGCAGAGTCCCCCTTACACCCATGTGTGCCCTGCAGAGTCCCCCTTACACCCATGTGTGCCCTGCAGAGTCCCCCTTACACCCATGTGTGCCCTGCAGAGTCCCCCTTTACATCCATGTGTGTCCTGCAGAGTCCCCCCTTACACCCATGTGTGTCCTGCAGAGTCCCCCCTTAAACCCATGTGTGCCCTGCAGAGTCCCCCTTACACCTATGTGTGCCCTGCAGAGTCCCCCCTTAAACCCATGTGTGCCCTGCAATGTCCCCCTTACACCCATGTGTGTCCAGCAGGGTACAGGAAATGGAGCAGATCTGGTGGGAGGAAGTCTGGTCCTCCTTTAAATGCTGGGGGTGACGTAACATGTCATTTGATGCTAGGACATTCACAGTCCTGACAACCAAACTATGACTTGGCGGGGTTCACCAGTGGGGACCAGGGGGAGAGTCATGGCTGGTTGGCAGTGCATGCAGCAGTTTCTATATTACAATAAACAAACCGGAACATCTACTGCGAGCCTAATAAAATCTTGTAGCCAGCCAGAGGTGGCCCATGGGCCATAGTTTGGGGTCTCCTACTCTACTGAAAATGAAAAAAAAGTTTTGGATGGACATAGACTTTAAGGTAAATTCTGGTTCATTTTGCTGAGTGTATATTTAAAGTTATTATTGTAAAACCCACGCAGAAGTAATTTTTGATGTGCCTTCCACATTTCACGATAGTATCCTATAATTATCTCTTTATGTTTCAGGTGTCTCATATATTTAAGTCCTATGGACCTGGAGTTCGGGTATATTCATTTCTTACACAAGAGTAAGGACCTGTCAGTGCTGGGATTCCACCGTACGCGGGTTGCTGACAGCATTTTATTTGTCCAACTAAGAGGGTGAAGCAAGAACACAGAATGATGAGTGATGGGGACAATATGGAGACCTCAGGATAGTCATGTGTCAGTCATCTCATGTTCAGTGATGGGGACAAAAAGTTGTCCTTCCCCAACAGCGTCATGCACTGCAGTTGTGTGGCGTTGGTGCTGCGTCTGGTTCCTTTGGTTACAAGTACAGTGTATTTCAGCCAGTGATTCCACTGGAGCTGATATGTGAAAATAAATGCAAAATTAAAATAAAATTTGTAAAGGACAGATGTCTTATTTAGAATACCGGGTACCATCAATGCTTTAAAGCCTTTAACACCCCCCCACCACCCACCCACAAATGTAGTGCCCCATACCCACATTTACATGTTTTGGCTGCTGGAGCCACCTCTGCCTTCCATTCCTGGAAAACAATAGGGAGAAAGGCTGTGTGCCGAGCTTGTTAGAGTGAATAATGGTCAGTCGGACTCTGAACTTGTGTCTCCCAACTACTCACTAAGGCTGGATGGATGTCTGCAGCAGCACAGCTATGGTAGACATGGCATAGGATTGAGCTGGTGCTGGTATCTTCTAAATGGAAGCTCCTGATATTAAAGCTGAACTCCAGGCAAACACACAGCTGAAATACACATACGGGTGCTGCTTTAACCGGACAAATTAGTTGTATTCCCTTTTCATCTAGTCCTGAGATATACAGAGCTCTGCTACTCAGCAAAGTCAGGTTGGTGACCTTTTCTCTACTACAGCTAAAGCTGAACTCCAGGGATTATATAATTTATATATAATCCATATTAATATTCTGGTCCAATGTAAATAATGCGTATGTGTAAGTTGTAAATCAATGTAGTAGCCCAAGCTACTACATTGATGCCCACGATCGTGTGCATATCGTGCTGGGCACCTGCCATTCTGCATAGTAACCACAGTGGCAGAACGGCCATTCCAAGAACACCTTGCATTTAAAAATCTGCAAAGAGTTCTCTGATTGGATACCACCCCTTCTCTCAACCTCATCCAAGGGTAGCCACTTGACATAGCAGCTAGAATATTGTTTACCACACAGAAGTTATTCAGCTATTACATATGCATTCTTACATTAGGCAAATCTGGCCCAATGTAAATATGCAAAATACTGTATATCACCACGATAATTGAGCTTTAAGCAATACAGCTAGGTCACCTCTCTTCTAGGCTTTCATTGGACTGTAAAGGAGCTGCAGAAGATTAATAAGCTCATCCTTCTGCTCACTCTGCCATCTCCTATTGTCAGCACATATGCACACAGCACACCTCCTACTGCTATTCTTTCTTCTCTCAGTGTGTGTGATGCCATGCAGAACATGAAAAGAGGCTGAAATCCAGCCATAGTCATGTAGTTACACAATAAACATACACTATATTGCCAAAAGTATTGGTCGGCCTGCCTTTACATGCACATGAACTTTAATGGCATCCCAGTCTTAGTCCGTAGGGTTCAATATTGAGTTGGCCCCGCCCTTTGCAGCTATAACAGCTTCAACTCTTCTGGCAAGGCTGTCCACAAGGTTTAGGAGGGTGTCTATGGGAAGGTTTGACCATTCTTTTAGAAGCAAATTTGTGAGGTCAGGCACTGATGTTGGACGAGAAGGCCTGGCTCGCAGTCTCCTCTCTAATTCATCCCAAAGGTGTTGAGGTCAGGACTCTGCAGGCCATTCAAGTTCCTCCACCCCAAACTCGCTCATCCATGTCTTTATGGACCTTGCTTTGTGCACTGGTGTGCAGTCATATTGGAACAGGAAGGGTCCATCTCCAAACTCTTCCCACAAAGTTGGGAGCATGAAATTGTCCAACATGTCTTGTTATGCTGACGCCTTAAGAGTTCCCTTCACTGGAACTAAAGGGCCAAGTCCAACCCTGAAAAGCAACCCCACTCCATAATCCTCCCTCCACCAAATTTTACACTTGGCACAATGCAGTCAGGCAAGTACTGTTCTTCTGGCAACCGCCAAACCCAGACACATCCATCAGATTGCCAGACAGAGAAGCATGATTCATCACTCCAGAGAACACTTCTCCACTGCTCTAGAGTCCAGTGGCGGCGTGCTTTACACCCCTGGATCCGACTCTTTGCATTGCACTTGGTGATGGAAGACTTGGATGCAGCTGCTTGGCCATTGAAACTCATTCCATGAAGCTCTCTACACACTCTTTTTGTGCTAATCTGAAGGCCACATGAGGTTTGGAGATCTTTAGCTATTGACTCTGCAGACAGTTGGCGACTTCTGCACACCGTGCGCTTCTTTTTTTGCATTTGCTGACCCTGTTCTGTCATTTTATGTGGCCTACCACTTCGTGGCCGAGTTGCTGTTGTTCCCAGTTGCTTCCACTTTGTTATCATACCACTAACAATTGACCGTGGAATATTTAGTAACAAGGAAATATCACGGATGGACTTATTGCACAGGTGGCAACCTATCACGGTTCCACACTTGAATTCACTGAGCTCCTGAGAGCGACCCATTCTTTCACAAATGTTTGTAGAAGCAGTCTGCTTGTCTAGGTGCTTGATTTTATACACCTGTGGCCATGGAGGTGATTGGAACACCTGAATCCAATGATTTGGAGGGCTGGCCCAATACTTTTGGCAATATAGTATATTTCAAGAATTTTTAATACATATTGATATCTGTCTTGAGTTTAGCTTTAAAAGTACCAGAGCATATTTATACATTTGCAGTTTTAGATTTTATTTTGTGCTATTTTTAAAGAAAGCATAAAGTCCTTTTTAAAACATCAGACTATCAAAGCAGGTTTTTGGGTTTTATATATATGTCGGTGATTTGAATTGTGCCCAGGCTTTTTACCTCCTCTGCAGGCTTCGTAAGAAAGGTCTTTGTTAAATTTGTTAGTCCATTGATAATACAGTATCTAATTTTTGACATTACCAGGAATTGTAATATCATGCATAAAGAAACATAAGACTGAAATATTTGGGCAAGCCCTGATAAATGGGAGTATGTTGGGATACCCAAAATGCATTGGTGACTCCTTTTATTGTCCCTTTGACATCTATTGGAATAAAATTGTATCTGGATTATTGAACAATGATGTGGAGCTTGAATTCTTCTTCTTGCTGTTTTGAACTACAAACCAAGAAGACTGCAGTATTGGCTTTATGGAGCCCCACACAATGAAAATATCGGACGAATGATCGGCCATTTTTTTCTTTTTTTTTTCCATGCTAATCTCCATATTGAAAATGAAGAGGTTAATAAAGTTACAAAAATTCTTGTATGACAGAATAAAAATTCAGTATTGTATTTTTGGACAAAAACTGTACTTATTAAACAAAAATCATATGATCTGGTATCGTACGAGAAACTTTTCATGATTGCCCCTTTAAATAATTTTGGATAAAAGCTGTGTAATAACGATCAGATTATCGTATGATCGCTTTGAAAACGGTATTTTTCGTACAATTTTCTGATCGTGTGTACTAGACTTTAGCCTGCATGTAAGAATTGATATCTACAGCTTGTTACGGATTACCCTCTTTTTTTTTTTGCATTGGTTTTCATAAATAATCCCTAACAATCGTAACATAACTTGTCAAACTGTTGCAGTCATATTATTATATTTTAATTGGTTGTATTCTGCTGTGTTTTAGCAAGGTTCTTAAATAAAGAAATACAGTAGAGAATTGGAATTTAAAAAAAAAAAGAAATTTAGTTTTTGCAGCGCAGTTGCTTAGTGATTAGCACTTACTGTATGCTTTGAAGAACTGGGGTCCTTGGATTTAGTCCTGGCCAGGACTCTATCTGCATGGAGATTGCATGTTCTCCTTGTGCTTGTATGGATCCTCTCTGGGTACTCCAGCTTCCTTCTACATTCCAAAGAAATGCTGGCTGGCAGACTAATTGGCTATTGTCTAAATCGGCCCTAGCATGTGTGTGGTTTTAAAAGATACAAATACAGCCTCTGAGACAAACCCTGGTTACACTTTGTCAAGTGGCTAATGCAGCTCTGGTACTCATTTCAAACATTGAGCCATAGAAGAAGTAAGGTTCCAAGGATTAAAATATACCGAAGATCAAAACATGGTCATAGTAGTAGATGGATGGAAATGTGGAAACCCAGGGAAAGATTGAATATACAGATGTATGGTGGGAGAGGACCGGGAAGGCAAATACAGCCAACTGGCCATTTCATGGTTGGGTCAGATTGCTGTGGGGGCTAAATAAAGTGAATCACTCAAGGGGTGTATACATGATGTATATTCATTCTGTGCAAATGAGTGCAAAAAAAATGAATGATATTTGGCTTTTTATTGTGTTGGTCGAATATTTTTCGTTGATTTAAACAGAATATATCACATTTGGTCACTAAATGGTGCAAATTATTATTCTTAATACCATCTAGTGACCAAATGTTTTTTTTTTTTTTCTGTTTAAATGTATAATACTCAGCATGGATCACTGACAGAGGGTCCTGAAAGGGGGAGTATATCCATTCAGAGCCACCAACCCAACATATCCTGTATTATTAGTACTGACTTGGGGGCATTTCGCTGTGAAGATCCAAGTACCCCAGCAGGGAAAACTCCACCTCGGTGTTGCCTGTTCCCCCCTCCCTGAAACTTTTACAGACTCCTCCTAGGTTTATAAGATGTAGTATTTTCATCCAATTCACTGCATATTACACATGATTTTTTTTCTGCAGCATCCACTAGGGATAATCTGGCTTTAATTATCTTGAGAAACTACCCCAGAAGTATGCAGGTAAGAACTTGTGCTTTATCTGAACTGCATACTTGTACTAGGGCCGTAGCATTGCCTTCTCATCCCTTTGAGACAGAACTCAAGAGAAATACCCTATGGTTATTAAGTCTCTTTGCTACTCATTAGCATCACATTGGTTTTAGTGTACTGTGAATGAGATGGCTACAAGTAGTAAATGGTCTAAGTAGCTCTAGACTTAAGCCTGGTACACGCGGGCTGAATATCGTCCGGTATTGGCTGGTTCAACAGAAAATGGCTTACATTCGGCCCATGTGTACAACAGCCTGTCCATCAGAAGCTGGCAGAATATCTGGCTTCTGTAGAGTGGGCATGCTGGATAAACAGCAGCTGATTGGCATCTGATCAGCAGTCTCAGTCATTGGCTGCGAGCGATGACCAGTGTGTTCTGGTGGGGGGAAGTCCCCCTGTCAGAAAACAATAGCTCAGCAGGGAAGATCGCTGTACTAACATCACATATTACAGGGAGCTCCTCAGTTGTTTTTGGTCAGCCACCTGCCAGTGTGTACCAGGCTTTATGTAGGTTCTGTGGCTTATTAAGCTGGTAATTAAATTGACTTTACCTGTATCTAATTGGCCACAGAGCCTCCGTAATTTACTTACAAAATCTTAAAGATAAGTGACTCAAAAATCACTGAAGACAGACGGTGTGCATAGTAGCCAGGCAACTAGCATTATTCAAAGGGAGTTGCTAATGGCAACCCTCATATTCCTCTAACGACAGGTTTATTGTTCGATAGGCATGAAATCACATGACGACAGCCAGATTGGTTGATGCTCTCACCTCTGCACAGCCCAGGGGCAGCATAGGAGTACCTTGGCCAATTTTGCAATGTACTGGTTTTTAAAGAGTTCCTATTTGCTTTCTAATACATTTTTCCTATATTGTTCATTATAAGCTTTGGCTTGGCTTTTACTGCTATCTGCTACTGTCCAGGCACCATTGGAGATTTCCCATATAAACTCCTGTCTAGTTAAAGCCCTGGATAGCTATCTGAACCAGACTGAGGATCTAATCCTTTCCCACTCCATCCAAAATAAAATAAAGGACTGACATACACTCTAAAGCCTACTTTAACCTTTATTTTCATTTTGGAATGGAAGTGTTAACATCTCTGTCAGGTTTTTTATTTCTGTCTGTGACCCCATTGGAGAATTTTTCCTCCCTTCCTGCCCCTTCCATGCCTGTACAAGAAATGAGGGAGAGCGGCCATCCCTTGGACAGGATGGCACAGACATTAATGCAAAATTGTCAGAAGTTCCTCGGTTTCCTCATCAATCTACTAAAAATTAGGTTTTTTTTTCTGCATCCCCATTGGTGAGATTTCCCATCAATTTCTACCATAAAAAGAAGCAAGGGGACATCTCTCCAGTAGGGACACAGATGGCAAGAAAACCTGACAGTTCCCCTGCTCTGTCCTCAAATAAAGAAACATGTTGGCTGAAGTTTGACTCTAACAAGCAAAAAATACTCTCACACTCACTATTACCCATTCTCCTGGGTCTCAGTGGCCTAATTACCCCCATCACCTCCCTTTTTGAACTTCCACCACACTGATAGACTAAGGACAATTCTGCATTTTCAGAGACTTTAATAGGAGATTCTAAGGATAGTTATCATACAGACGGCAGCTGGATGGTGGCCCTTCATGTCTTCTTAGGGGCTCCTCTTGTCCCAGAAGGTCCTGTAGGCTTCCCATGTTCTCTCAGTTACATTTGCAATAATAGGAAGAGATGGAGTCATCCCAGTTCCCAAAGAGCCCTTTCTTGACCTCTGCTAGCCGTGGATAGGACCCGCTGCTGAACTTCTTAGTGACACCATCTTTTGGCTTTTTGGACCAGACAGTCAGCTCACATCGGGTAGCCACAACCAATGATGATACACGGTTGTTGAACCTTAGGGCAATGTAAGGCACATCCTCTCCAGGCTTGACATCCAGGTAATCCCCAGCACAGCAGTCTTCATAGTAGACACTGCTGTCAGCATACAGGCGGGCACACAGCTTGTTGCCTTCATCATCTTTGACTTCAGCAGGCAAGGGGCAACCTGCCATGGACAGGACCACCAGCATGGGCAGGATGTAGACAGTCAGTAGCTTCATGGCTGATTGTTACCAAGAGGAGTTTAGGGCAGGATTTATGTGCTGTGGCATGGTTGGCGAATGTGGATCTTGGCACATTGAGAGCCCTCCAGTTGCACTTTTCCCACAGGCAAACACAGGTGCAATGAAGGTTAACACAGAAACAATGCCACCTGGTGCAGATCACTTGGCAGAAAATGAAGCAGTGAATGATTACAGAAGATAAATTGCCAATATCTTGAAGAACTTTGCAAAAGTCTAGATGCAGGAGTAATGCTCTGCAGTTATTGTCAGAACTACTATTTTTCATATGCTCACATTCAGGGGACACCTTATTAGCTACACCTACACTATATAGCCAAACGTATGTGGCAACCCTAAACTATTAAGTTCAGGTTTTTCCATTGAAGGATACTGTTAATGCTGCAGCATACATTTTGGACAACTGCACATTTCCAAACTTGTGGCATTACTTTAGGGAAGGCTTTTTTTCTTTTCCAGCATGACTGTGCACAAAGCCAGATTGATAAACACATGGTTTGAGGAGTTTGGTGTGAAGGAACCCGAGTGGCCCAACTGAACATCTTTTAGATGAACTGAAATTACAATTGTGCCTAATAGTCAATTGGGCACAGCTCCTGGGGGTGGGGAGGAGACCAAGCTTTACTGGTTAACTG